TTCTTTCTTTTCTTTTTCTTTTTTTTTTTTGACATATCGACTTGCAAATTTTTGTTTCGTTATTATCTTTTTCATGGCTGTAGTTTTTCGTTTAATGAGACATATTAAACGATCGAAGTCATCTTTTTTCTGTGACATTATTTTCTAGAATAATTTTGTAGTTCTCTGATACGAAAATTAATTAAACGTTTTACAAACTCTCTCAATATCGTGCAATATCACTGTGATTCTTGATGGAAGAATTTCTCGTTGCAATAACTTATCTTATCTTCATGAATGAATTAATGATGGACATTTTAGTTCAAACAGAGTCGATAACGCATAGCTGTGTATATTTTCTGCGACTATCGGAAAGTTTCGATAAAACTGAGTCATTTAACATCCACGAAGCAAAAATATGAATGATTTGAATCGAATAGCATTGTCCACTAATTAATAATAAATTATATCTTCCATGCATAAATGCTCAGAATTGAAATAATTTTAAGGTTTTATTTTCATACCGCGAGAATGTATGATTCATTAATAGAATAGAAAAAAAAGAATCTAATTAAGTCAGTAATATATGTCTATCATAATATTTCAACTAATTACAGAATACGATTTTGAAATTAGAACATGTTCGAAACATGAGCGTTTTGTGTACCATAGAAACTGATACCTGAATCGTAAACTAAATTTCAAATTAACAATTATGAAGGTTTCATGAAATATCACGTTTATAATCGATCATGATACCTACCATAACTGTCAGAAACTGTAATATCAAATAACCATATACGGGTAATGAAAATCATCGAAATTATCCAGTTATGCTAAATAACAGCTCGCATACTGAAAATTAGTACGAACAAAATGAACGTCTTTAAAACGTACGAAGAAAATAATTTGCGTTACAAGCCAATAATGAAGCAAAAAGTTTCTATCACATACACACTCTAAATCAATATTGTTTATTTGAAGTATAACGACGATAACCGAGCAATTAGTAATTGCCAAACCAAATAACCATCCGCGACACTCAATATATGAGAAGTTGAAGTGGTTTTGATTTTGGAACGAACGCGTGGAATGGAACAAGTGGAAAAGAATAAAAAGGACTTTACCAGTGGAAAGAGATGTAGATTCTGAAAAAAGTTATAAGTGGTAGATTAATTTATTTTAATTATTAAATTATTTATTAATAATTTATCGAAAAACACAATGATCATACGTAGGAAATAAATTGTAATTGAAAAAAATCGATACAATTAATCTCATATAATTTTTACTATTTATTCTCCGTTTGAATCTGCAAAGGCGACACACGATAAAAGTATAGATCGTTTAAAACATAAATGATATAAATGACAGAATTAACTGAAATGTCTTTTTGTTTCTACTGCAAATCTTCGCTTCTGGCATTTACATCGTTTACCATTTCAATTGCTCTATTCGCTATTATCAGTAAATACAACGTCAAAAACCACCTAGCAAACCGCTACAACTACCAAACGCAGCAAACAACAGCGTACGAAGTTAAAGGGTAGCAACCGCAGGATGCATCGAAAAACCATAAGCGAGGCTCGTCACGTCGTAATCCAATTTCGTCGATGAACGAGAAGTGGTCTGTTTAAGGCGAAAGACGGATGCGTTAACGAAGACGTCTCGTGACAGGGAGGGAGAAGAAGCGCGATACCTCTCTGGCTGTTGGGTTGCCGCAGGCCCGAAGCGAAGGCCAGGCATCGAAGGATTAACGTAGCCTAATTCGAGCAGCTTAGAAGTGGCGAAGACAGGAAAAGAAGGGTCGGAAGCCGGTAATTCCAGAGGCAGCTTCGCAACTACCCGACAGAACCCGTCCAGGGAATAAAAAGCGACCTGATTATCCTTTGTTTTATCCCCGGGGAATCCGAGCGGCATCCCAGCGCCGGATTCGCCGCAATGGAGCTAGGAAAAACTTTTTAAAGACCGCCACCGTTCCTCCACGACGGCTCTTTCGTTCCGTGACCTGTTTCACTGAGCAGGAACTTTCGGAATTTCGTTCCAACTCCTTAACCGAGACTCTCTCCAGCTCTTTTCCTCCCTTTTTCTCTTTTTCTATTCGTTTCCATTTCTTTTCCCTTCCTTTTCTTTTCTCGACGACGAACACCGCCTCGCCGGATCGGCGAAGCCACCTGAAGAAGATCGAAAAGAACTCCCATCCAGTCATCCCTTCTCGATCCACGTCGAGGATTTAGCATAAGGAGCAAGGCAAACACGAGGGCGGTCGTGCACGTAGACGCGTCGGCGAATCCCATGGATCGCGCCGCGAGGATCACGGAATCGAAATAAGTTCACCGTGGTTCGGATAAAGAGGCACTTTTATCGCTGCAAAAACGGCCCATCCGCGACTGGTCGCCGCGCCACGACGTTACGCCCGCGATGAAATTGAAGAAAGATTCTATTATACCTGTATCTTTATGGTCGTTATCGTTTAATGGATCACCGAACGATATCCTCGAGCTGAGACACACTAGGGATTCTGCTCGCTCACGGGATACTATGGGAACTCACGGATGCTTTACGATGCGGAATACCGGGTACTTTTGATTGCGCAATTCCGCACCGTGACGAATGCCTTTGTTCCAAGAGATCTTAGAAAAGTTGTTCGCGCGCGATGGTAGCAGCGATCGATCTTGTGACTTACGCGAGTATTCTGACCTGTAATTAGAGAGATGTGAGATTGAAATTCAAGATCGATGATATACGTAGGGATTGATAAGTTTTCGATTGGCTTAATTAGTTTACATTCATTAAAAAGTTACGTAACATTAAAATATTAAAAAATGAACAAACAAAAAAAAATTGAATTAAAAAACAGCGTAAAATATTTTGAAATTACTAATTGGTGTGCCGCAGGAATATACAAATATAGATAAAAATTATTTGTAGAGTATAGTATAAACATGGAATAAAGTAACTGTTTTGAAAATATAGTAAGTTGCTAATCTTGTTGGTTGTATAGCACAACTTCTAAGATATTTTATGGTAAGAATATTCTGGATATTATAAATTCCATTCCTGCTTATAAAACCCTTATCATCGCGAGGTCTAACGTTTTGAATTCAGCCCTAAAAAAATTATACCGTTTACTTATCGGATGACCTAATATAAAATTCTGATGGTAGGCCCATAGTACCACATATGAGAATTCTACTGATTAAGATAGACAACAGTTTTGTTATTCTTCCCACTTATCTAACTACGTCTATCATATAAGTACCTATATTTACAAATGTGATAAAGCGTAGTATATTTTTAACCAAACACGGTGCTTACCTCACAAATTTGACTATAGAATTGTCTTCTTCTAAATAGAATTAGTATTTCCAATTTTATCAGCCAACTAGAGAAGAATTTTACATATTCAATCTCATAAGTATCTTTATTATACGAAATACAAAATTTATTGTATAAATTTTACTATATTAATTTATCAATTTATTTATGAAACGTAACTGAACCTTTGAATAAGCAACTGAACCTTTGAATACGCAAATTAAATCACCCCCTCTTATACAAAGCAACAAACAGATACTGTTGCGTCCGAATATTAGCATGTATAACACATTATACTTATTTCAAAGTTCGTGTCCAATTCGTTCTTTCCACACGTCTGTAAGTTTCCTGTTTTCAGTTTTGTTCGAGCGCGAGGGTAACTTTCCCGCTCGGAATCGTAAAAAGGAAGGGACAGAGGATCCCCACGGTATGTTTCCCTTAATCCACGACCCACTAAATATCTCCACTCATATTTCCCTTTTATTTTCCTCGCAAACTAATTTCACGACGCTTCATAGAAGCGGCGAGCAGGTAACCACCGCGAGCACCGCTTCCCATAGATACATCCAAGAACGAATCCGCAGAAATGAATTCCGCATGCGAGAGAGAGAAAGAGAGAGAGAGAGAGGATCCGGTTAAATCAGCCGCTTTATGCGCGGAAACCGTGGACTCGTTCGTCCGCTTTTATTTCAATTTCGCAGTACGTACGAGACTCGTTAAGAGCGCTAAAGAAAAGCTGGAGAAAAAAGCGAGGAGAACGAGAAACAGAAAAATAGAAGCGTAAAACAACTATGTATGTATGTAGGATGCTTACGCTCCAACCTATAAACTACGAGACATTTAGTAGATTTGAGATGGGGACGAGTTTATGACATAAAAAATCAGAATTATGAAACAAAAGTTTCCTACTGTGGTGAAACGTGAATCATAGAACTCCTGAGAAGTTAACTTTTTGGTATTATTCAATTCGTGTATTATCATATGGTTTTATTTGAATATACGAGAAAAGAGGGATGATGGATACATAGTTTGATTCTCTTTATTTCTTAGCTAACTACCTTATAACATAATAATGACTACCAGTAGTTTCAGCAGACTTAGGAAACTTTTCTGCAAACATAGATATTAGGGCAATTTCATGTTTGTAAATTCTTAAGAAATACTTCTCTTTCAATTATAAATGGAGTTCTTTTTATTGACTTATCGACGTCAGATTTAAATTAACAAAATCATATCACAAGACAAATTATTACAACTACTCGGTAAAATCATATTTCCAACTTAAAGAGAAATTTGAATGAGCCCTAGCCTCTGGAAAACAATTTGTCCGAGTATATTGACGCTAGAACTACCAGAATTTTTTTATTACAAATGATCGATCGACAATTTTTCAGGTGTTTTATAAATTTATTATTCCAGCTATCGTATGTATAAAACATTTCCTCCTAGGTATTTTTCATTTTAATTTCGTTGGCATAAGCTCGCGCTTTGTTCAGTAATAATTCTAGCGTTAATAACACAGTCAGCAGGAGATCCGATAATAAATAAAAGTGAGAAATATTCCAAATTTCTGGCTGGTTATATATACATATAAGATAGAGGAGGAGCAGAGAACAAATTCCTCACTACCTTGGAATTACCAGCAGGTTAATTACACGAGAAAACGTAGCCTCTGTTTACTACAGTGGCTATTTGTTTTGCAGGTGTTATCAGCCAGGTGATAAGCACCCTTGCACCGACTGTGAAGCCGAGCACGCTGACACGAGCGTTCTTCTCGCTCTTTTTTCACCGTTTCCCCGCATCCTTGTATTCCACGGCTTGGTGTCGACTCGGAGGGTGGCCTGTGCTGTGCGGTCCTCGAGCCGGAACACGGAAGCCTTCGCGGCGTGCACCGTTGAAAACGCGCCGGGGGATGATAGAAGATGAGCGCGACCGGTGAAGGAGGGGCGAGAGAAGAGTGAAGGCAGCCACCGAGAAAGCTATCCGGAACAACGAAGATGAGATGGGATGCCGCGCTCTACCTACTTTCTCTGCTGCTCTTCTCCTTGGCCAATCTTTGCTGGGCTCTCGTCGAAACTCGAGGTACGTGCGAATTTTCGGACTCGATGCTTCCGTCTCACACCCCCTGACGGCTCCGAGATTAATTCATCCGATCGAGACTATACTTCATCTTACTAGACGTTGCCCGATAAAAACCTTGGCGAACATCGTCGAAACCAATTTCCACGTGAATACTGTTTTTGTGCTCTTGATATATTGCACGGTTAGAGGATATCGTAGAAGATATTGAAATGAATTTCTGGGCACGGATTTCGGAACAAATATTTCGTTATGTTCTACTGTCTTTTTTTTTTTTTTAGGTATTTTTAGATAGGAAGAATACCCTTCTTTTTTGCCACTCCATTTTTTCCTAGTTTTTTCAAGGGAAATATGGAAACCTGCGGACCGCCTAGAGGGATGAGTTTTTCATCTTTCGGTTAATGGGGAAAAGGTTTCTTTGAAACGCGGAGAATAATTATGCGAATTCGTAGAATTAGTAAAGATAGTTTAATGATTATTAAATTTCTCCGTTAGAATTATTCTACTTTTATTCGGTGAATAAATTACGGAAGAAAGTAAATTCCGAAAAATAGACTTGTTGGCCGTTAAAATGATTTTATTTCAACAAGTATGAAGATTTATTTTAAAAGAGATAGGCAGACAGACAGAAAGAGAGAATTAATAATCTAGCTAAAATTAGAATAACGTAATATTCAAATATAGAATAAATTAAATTAAACAAGAAGCAAACTCGATAAACAAATATAAATAACATTTTATTCGTACCAAAAATTAAAGTAACGTATTTCTCTTTCATTTCATCTCTATTTATTTATATTCGAGAAAAAATCAAAAGCATACAATCGAATAACACGATCAATGTATAAAATTTTCTAACGAGAGCAAATGGAAAAAGGCTTTGTCTAGACAACGGAATAAAGTAGCAATGCTAAATCAATGCAAACATGTTTCCGATCTCTACTATCTCTACAATTTCATCGCAAAAAGGAACGCTGGTATTTGCCTCGGTTTCCAGCGTTGATTCAATAACGAACGAGGAGGTAAGAGGAGGAAGTTTTTTCCCCCCGAGGATAAAAAATTCCCTAGCATTGTTTGAAATTCCGCGCGCGATACTCAGCGGGAGAGGTGTTACCCAAAATAAAGAGCGGCTGAATTAAGGATCATCCGGTTATCAGATACGTGCCGACGCATACGATTAATTATATAGAGCATTCGTGGGCCGCTCTGTCGGTTGCTTAGGAATTTTTCGCGAAGGGGTGAAACGCTATGAATATTCATACGGCATCGAGCTCGAAGTCGAACATAATCCAACGGTTCGACAACGTGACAATCATTTCTGATTTTCCCTTAATTCGACTCGCCACCACCGGTCACCGGTATTCAAATCGTGCGGGTGTAAAGCGGCGAACATTTAAATTCCACGTACTCACGACGATTCAAATTAAACAATTCGTCGGTCGCAATTATTCGAGCCGCACGCTGTACCGTAGCCCTGCTATTTTAATTAACCGGAGAAATAATAACGTCAATAATTGCGTGACTCGATTCTGCGTTCTTCTTTTTCGTTTTTCTCTCTTTTTTTCCTATATTAAATTGTAGTTGCACGAATGAATAAAAGAGCGAATGGACGCGAATAAAAGTTGTTAAATATTTCTATTGTTTGATTGGAAAAATGTTCGGACGATAGGAAATTGATTCTTCGAATTGTTTGAATTGTAGGAGATAAATTTTGTTACTGCAGATTATGCGTTGAGGAAGTTTGTAAAATTCGTAAGTTCAGGCTGGCTTTTAGTTAAAATAACGATTGCAAACTTTTATATTTATTTATTATTTTATATAATTTTTTAGGATTACTTGATACATAACTTAGTAGTAATAAATATTCGCGGATATTTTTGTCGTATTTTCCGATTTATTTAACAAAATCGTTGCGATTACTAGATTTGAATACTTTCCTTTTTGAATTCAACTTTGCCTATATTGATCTTAAAAAATCTGAAATATAGGAGTTCTTATTTAACCGTCAGGCGTGTATAACCCGTTTTTTGCATTTTCACTCTACTACACCATTCTCCACTCTGCCACGAATATTTCTACTCAACAAAAAGGGAAATTTCTATCTGCTTGGAACATAATATTAACAAAACCATCTACGACCAGCACCGTAGCGAATGAAAACAAAGTTGTTCATCCAATCTTACATCCTAATAAATACAAAAATTCCACAAAGCTAGCGACAACTAAATTCATTTATTTACTTTTATTTTTACTAGATAAATAATATGAAAAGTTACAAATTTGTATTTACTGTAGAACTATTGACAATTGAAGCATGAAGCTTGTAGGAAAGAAATTCAAATGAAATTCGTATGGAAAAATACGCAGTGCAAAAAAATAACAAACATTTCTCTATATATTTTATGAAAAATCAATCTGAAATCCCCAGAAGTACGCTATTTCCAATCTATAAAATTATTATGAAGAATTGTGAACTGGTTACTTTTACCTCCTCTAGTAACAAACGGGGAAAATCCCTGATCTATATGCAAAGTTTACTAAAAATCACTTATATCCCCAGAAATACAGCTACTACGAGAAATTATAACTTGTTCATCTTACAATTAGTTGTTCCAGTAACAAAGGAAAGAATAACTTCATACCCATATGCATACAATATACCTACGTACTTCACCAAAAACCATTCAAATCCCCGTAAATGCTCCATTGTAAATCAGATATAAAACTACTATGAAAAATTATGAACCGATCAGGTTGACTACTTCGGTAGTTTCAACGTTAAACCAGCTTAATCGATCCTCGATGCGTAAAATTTGACAGAGGTGGAGAATGGAAAAAGAAGTACACGTGGCTCCGCGCCGCATCGGACGAACAACGCGTCCTACGTAACGTTATTCGAGCGACGTAATGGCTGTTTACCATACAAGGCAGACCAGGGGAACTTAACGATTCGACACTGGCAAAAAACTCGGCAATTATACGCAGCCGCCGACTAATTTGCAATTGACTCGCGTGCGAATCCACCAGTAATTATTAGTATCGGCCCCGCCATTATTGCTGGTCTAGAGGTCCTCACGTTCGAAAGGGCTCGCGCGATATTGTATATTGCCGTGGTCGTTGAATTATGGAAATTGGTCAGCTCGCTTGGCCGACAGGCTCGCTAATTAATTATTAATGCAAGCGCTACTTATTAGTCGTTACGCGGCTCCGCGTCGATGGACCGCAAATGCCTCCGATTTTTAGCCGTTCAAAGGCGCCCTTATAATTGGCTCGTGACTTATGGTAGCCGAGCAGAGGATGTCTCCTGAAGAACTGACACGGCGTGCAGTCACGACTCGTTCGTTGTTCTAACTGATCGTAGCAGAATGTTTTCATTTTTAATTAATTATAAGATTCTTCCCAGTCGATTTACATCAACGAATTCTATTCTTTTAACATCTTGACGATGAAATAGGTCCCCTGAATTTTTTTCTTTCGTTGCTACTTCTTTATGAAATTTGAAGAAGTTAAAGTATTTATAACATTATGATAGATTATTGCTGAGAACTTAATGGGTTAAGTAAATTACGAAGGTAATCGAGTATTTATCTATTATTATTGTTATCTATTGTGAAATTTCTTTGTTTATTTTGTTTTATTTGATACAGGGCAATACTGTAACCTTATAAAAAGATGTTCATTTGATAGAAAATAATTAGGAAATTTGCTGACAAAAGTTAAGGGACTGAAATATTATTTTTTTGTTAGATGTTTATCATATTATTCATTTGTTATTACATTATTTTATTTTATTGATCACATCATGAAACATGCATTTGGTTTTTTATAATTCACGTGTTTTTTTTTTAGAATTAATTTCAGTTGCGTATTAATTTTTATTTATTCTTTGTGCATAAACGAGGTAATATTATTATTTAAAATACGAAAGACAAATAAAAATTAACTTACAGTTCTCAAATATCGCGTTGAATAAACATAGATAAAATGTTCATTAGTATAATAATTAACGATCAGAATCAACAATTAATAACACAATTAATAACGATTTTTTTAGCAATTCCATGCAAAGCGTATAAATATATCGCGCAAACATACGTGAAAATTCCAAAAATATATAATAATATCTCTTTGTTTTGGAAAAAAAATATTTCCAATTATTTATATGTAATATACAGTTTTGTATTAATTTATACATTGAAGCCGTTATTACATTTTCTAAAACCTACCTATATAAAATGCCTAAAGTATTATAGAAATAGGTTCGTAAAATTGTTCGAAAATTAGAGTGAAATAATCAGGAAGGAAATTACTTTGCATATTCCCTTCACTATTAATTATTTCAGAGAATCATATAGATTTATCTCAAATAATTATAGTTCGACTCCGAAATTTCAAAAGTTATTAATTTTTGTTCGGTCCCTCATTCATTCTCAGTGATTTAAGGGGCGAACGAGAAGGGTTTCGAGATAAATGAAGACGATGGGAAACAGGTCACGCAATTTGACCGAATTCCGTATAAAATTTCGAATTATGAAGATTGCAGGCTTCGTTCCTTAAAGCGTGCAAATTAATTACTAATAATGCCTCACTTACTACTAATTATACGGCTTAGTAATGTCGTTTGTGTTGCCGACAACAATATTCGATGCTGTTCTTCGACTTTCCGCCGAGTAGATTTTCATTAATGATCCGTCAAAGGTGTAATCATTTCTCATTCACCTTTTTTTTTAACCCTCCAGCAGCCACCATTAATTATCGCTCTACAATGTCGTTACGTTATTAAACAGGAGCGCGTTGTGGGAACATTAGCTCGAAAACTGGATCTTAGAGAGATGGGAAATGATGGCAACTTACTTTTGTTCCAGTTATATTCAAATAATATTAGACTGTAGTGTATACGAATTGTTTAATTAAAAATCAAGTTGCGCATGACTTAGAAATTTTATTTGAAGCAGTTCTAATCAAAGCAATTTAAATTTCATTTTTATCATGTTTGAGTTTAG